ATGTACTGAACGAGCATCATGCAACGGATTGCAGTTCCCAATCCCAAAACGAATCCTCCCCTTTCTTCCACAACAGAGCAATTAGTTCTGACACCTGAACGTTGCAGAAACGGATTTTTATTTTATGTTTGCGCAACTTAAAATAACGAACACACGCGCGCACACACCTCTGTTTGAAACGTCACGAGCCATCTAAGGGCAGTGTCATTCGTGACAAAGTCATTTTAATTACAGATATTTTTTTTTTACTTCCTCCCACTCTCTTTTTTTAAGGTCCCTCGTGAGCAGCTGATAGCTCGGTGCTCTCCAGCAAGAAGACATGCACGTCACCTCCCTGCATCTCCCCCTCTCGCTGCCCCGGTGTAATTCCACGCGAGGCCGTGACCTCTTCCTCGAGAGAGGTCACATTGGACCGGCGTAGCAGCCCATTGGCTCGAGGCGCTATGCCTCCGCAAGACTTAGCCCTCCGTATCCTTTGGGGCGAATCTCATGGGGAGGCATTCGGCAGCGATTTTCAAAGCAGCGGAGAGGAATTCGACAACATATGTCAGGGTTAGGCAGTGTCCATACCTGGGAAGGATGCTCCCTATTAGCAAAGGTCATACATGAGATCAAACTGTCTTGGGGTCTCCCATTTTTACTGCATTCATTCGTCAATGTGACATGAAGATTCATCAACGGTCCTGCCAATAAAGCGAATGTTCCATACAACTTTCAGACGACAAATCTGTTTTTTATAGTGCGAGGAAAAAAGAGTCAAGGTAGAATTAAACGATGTAAGTAATTAAATGTAATAATGCTAAGACTATTTCTACATTTAGGATCTTAAAACGAAAATGTCTCGAGGTACGTTGATGAACTGCTCATATTAAAAAAAAAACACAAAGATTTAGACTTTAATTGCTCGCCCTAAACACGTTTACATTTTGGGCAATAGAGACGCTCAGTTGAACATTGAGACTAAGTTTAATTGGGCCTCAAATGTAGAACGGCAATTCCCAACCCCTGGGTCTCAACAAGAGCACGCGAATATTATATTAGGGATATAAATATATTTCAGTCATGTATGCCGCGTACTCATTATGTGATTCAAACAGATGAGCTCCTGTTCTTGGTTCTTTCGGTAAAGTCACGTAGAAGGGAAACAATAAAATAACAAAAATAAAAACCAATACAATTATCATAAATCATCATCAGGTGATGATGATTGCTTGTGTTGCAGTCAAATAATTCAGTTTGGTGTTTTAAATATAAAACAATACAATTCTCACGAAGTTTCGACTGCAACACAAGCAATCATCATCAGGTGTGAAAACCCACAGCAAGAAAATTTAAAAAATTCGTGAGAATTGTATTGTTTTATATTTTTATTATTTTAATGTTTCCCTTCTACTTGACTTTACCGAAAGAACCAAGAATATGAATCCCTGCAGTCACGAAAGCTTTAAATCAAGATGAGCTCCTATCACGGCTTGCAGTAATAACAACACGTGAACCTGCCTATACGTTCACTTTGAACGCCTCATCCTTGTAACATTTCGCCCGCGAAATGCGTGGACGTCCAGAGACTCACTCGGTGGCCTCCATGCCCTGCACTCGGACGGGACTGAGAGTGGTGATTGGTGAACTCTTCACGAGGCGAGGCAACGCCAAGAGTGGCGCGTGATGCAATCTGTCTATGAAGCGCCACATTGCAGGTCAACAACACTTAAGATTTTTTTATTTAAAGCTTTCGTGACTGCAGGGATTCATATTCTTGGTTCTTTCGGTAAAGTCACCACGTAGAAGGGAAACAATAAAATAGTAAAAATATAAAACAATAAAATTCTCACGACGTTTCGACTGCAACACAAGCAATCATCATCAGGTGTGAAAACCACGGCAAAATTTGAAACGTCGTGAGAATTTTATTGTTTTATATTTTTATTATTTTATTGTTTCCCTTCTACGTGACTTTACCGAAAGAACCAAGAATATGAACACAGCTTGTTGATTCCTCCACGCGCGTCCTGTTGACCACTTCCTCTACCAGGCTGACCGTTTCACCTCAGCCATACTCTGTTCCACCACCAACAGACTGCATCTCGCAGCAAAGACAAAGACCCCCCCCCCCACCACCACGTATAGCCTTAACAGACTGCTGGGGCAAGTGTTGTAGGCGAGCACCTATGAAGGCCAGCACGGTACACGAGGGGATGAGTGGCCAGCACCACGCCCAACCGCCTTTGTCTCCCCAGTGGCGATGTTGACAGACTGCACCAGGTCCTCTTTTGAGGCTGAGTCGACCTAGGGGAGGCCCAGAACGTGTTTAGATAATCGTCACCGGTGTTGGCCGTGAGCGGGAATCGAGCTGGGGTCGTAGCGCAACACGCTAACACGCTACACTACCGCTCCCCACACTATCTCACAACACCATGCTCACTCACCCACTCACCCACCACGCTGTAGGTCGCAACAAGCCTCATTCGACATCTTCCCTTGCACCGCTAAACTTTTCGAATGCCTCGCTTGCAACCCGCCCCGCCCCCCCCCAACTTTGTCTCAATTCGAGGACCGTGTTACACCTCCACACGGCATGGGGAGGCCACCATGCAGCGGCGGGGGTTGATGAAGGCGCTGTGCGTGTGTGGCGGCTCAATATTAATGGGTCATCTATCAATGGTGAGAGTTTATTTTTTTTATCCCAGCGTCTCGGTACCGTGTGTTGGCTTAAGTCCCCCTGCTCGCTGTAGATGTATGTACGTTGAACCTCTTTCGCACCGTACGTATCCAACAGTGCTAATCGTAGGCGCGAAAGAAGTTCAATGTGCATCGTTTCGACAGTACGTGTATGTACCTGGGTGGTCAAAAAGGCTGGGCTGGCTCTTGAGCAAACCTAGTTACGTCACACCAGCCACGTGGCTAATGGACGCCTGCTCAACTCACAACACGTGTGGGTTGCATTTAATAGGTACGGTATTTCAAAACAACGTCCAGACACATCTATAAATTCCTCCTGGGGGGGGGGGGTGGAAATGCCGGAACACGTGTGCTGTGGGCGCATCCCTGCGTGGTGGAGAAACGCTCACCGATAAGTAACAACGGCTGAGTTATGCGATCCCATTGGTTTTATCCGAAGCGGCTCTAAAAAAACACCCCTCTGGCAATATCTTGGGTCTGTGATCTGGTGCCCACTGAATGATGCTCGTGGTTTAAATTGGCTATTAGTCATTTGGACACTGGTGGTGCTTACGGATGAGGTATCTTTTTGTTTATTTGCCAATGAAAATGCGATAGTTATCTCCCGGGGATACAAAAGCATCGCGTTTGCGTGTGAAAAAAATTCGTTTGGATATTTAACAAACAAAAAAAAACACATTCGTAAGACATGCGCTTATTTTCGAGTGTGAGTAGAATAGTTTCATACCAGGTTTCAATTTGGTCGCATTACCAATGATCCAATTGTTACCATTTCTTTCACGCGTCAAGCAATCAAGCAAGTGAACAGGCCCTGGTATATGTGAATCGAGCTAACGATATTTTGCTCGACTTATAGTGCAATGCCATAGTTCGATTCTCGACCACGGCTAACATCAGTGGCCAGTGGCATGCGATACCGGTCCAGCATGGCGCGGTATGGTCAAAACAACCCCCATGACTTGTCATGGTGTGGGAAATCCTTCAATAAAATATCGCTGAATTTACAAAGGAGCGGTCAATTACCTTTTTAAATATTTTTTTGTTAAAACGAAAATTGCTCCCTGGAAAATGGCAAATGACGTGGCTTGCTTGTAGGCTTCGAAGACAAGATATTACGTCACACTGGCTTGCTGCGCTTAAGCATGGAACAATGCTCATCTCCCGTTTGTAGCCCTAAGCCAGTGGTGGAAATTCCACATTCCTATGGTGGAGCCAAGTCTTTCCGGAGATAATTTTTTTTAAAAAAATTGCTGTTCCCACCGTGTGGAATTCTATTTCTCTGGCCGTTTGCACTGCTGAGAACCGGCCCCCTACGTTAATGCAGACTCAAGACTCGCCTCTTCCTCTCTTCCACCTATGGCTCTTCATCTCTCTGTCTCTGTGAAGTGTCAAGTCATACATCTGCCACTGCACACAGTTATCTCGGTTTGCTTTCTGTCCGATAGAATTATATCAATCATTCCTTGCTCTTAAAAAAAACGTTTCTAAACACTCTAGAATTGTGGAGGGTGAACTGGGGCTACGGGGCCGTCCATAAATGACGTCACGCGATTTTGGACGATTTTTGACCCCCCCCCCCCTAGTCACACGGCGTCACAAAAAGTCAGACCCTCCCCCCTCAACTATGACGTCACAAAGCTCTGCCCCCCCCCCTAAAAAAAACATGCTTCAAATCGCTTTAAACTATTGTCATTGTATTCTTAGCTCTTTTGGTAAAGTCACGTTGAAGGGAAACAATAAAATAATAAAATATATAGGAAAAACAATAAAAAAAATTCTCACGACGTTTCGACCATAACACAAACGGTCGTGAGAATTTTTGTTGTTTTATATATATTTTATTATTTTATTGTTTCCCTTCAACGTGACTTTACCGAAAGAGCTAAGAATATGAATTACTGCAGTCACGAAAGCTTTAAATCAAAATTTATTGTCATTGTAGTGCGTATTTAATGTGGCGCTACACTCTGATGTTGTAGGAGAAAACATTTATTAAAAAGTCTATTTAATTAAGTAGAACGTGTTGTCTACATTTATTTAAAGTTGCGCATTTTGATGTGACGTCACATTTCTCACACCCCCCCCCCCCCGTCGTCACACACCGTCACAAATGTCTGACCCCCCCCCCACCCCCCTAGGTGCGTGACGTCATTTATGGACGGCCCCTACGGTTCTCTCAATTAAAATATAATCGAATTCTAAATGTTGTGGGTTTACTCTCCAAACAAACCGGTGTGTTGAAGTAGTAACTAATCGGCATGTTTTGTTTACGTGGCGAACCTTACAAATTGGCTGTGTCGGGTGGTGGCGGGTCTAACGACACATATTTTTTTTATCTAACCCAACCCCCCTCCCCCCTCTATTATAGGTTTTCTTTCATTTACAACGGAGCTATGGGATTGTAGAATCGAGGCAATCATAGCTCTGAAGCACTGCATTGTGGGAACATCTGTTCTTCTAAATAAGACGTCTCGGCGTGACGACAAAAATATCAATGAACAGGGGCCGTTCCAAAATTACGCCCGTAATTCATCGAATCAGCTTCCGCTGTGATGAGCCACGCACAACTGTGTTATCTCGTTCCCATTTCTCGTGACCCCGGTCAGAGCCGCGTGAGCCCCGGCTGTTTCATTGTCTTGTAGCTATTGCAATATTGAGTGGAAAGCAAATCAATGTTCTACTATATTCATGTGCTGTATAAATTCATTGTGATCTATTTATCTGTCTGTTTGGCCTCCGTGCGCTCACCTTTCTCCCAGTCACTCCCAGCGACGCTGCCCCGCCTCTCCTCACCCTTCTCTCTCTCTCTCTGTGTTTCTCTCACGCGATGGCTCACATTGTCGCGTGCGGCAGAACTTGATCTCGCTGCTCACGAGCCACGGTTGCGTTGGCCCCATTTAAGGCCCCGAGGCAGAAATAATTTTCGCGGTCTCCCTTTCAAATGTTGATTTTAATCCTGGTGAGATGACAGAAGAGATATAGACAAGGGACAGAGATGTGGCCAGCGGAGCCCAATGACATGTTCATGCAGACACGGGCAATGCTTGCTGCTTCTCAACCAAACTGTGTGTTTTTTTTTTTAGTATCACTACTGGTAAACCCTCATGCGTGTTGGTGTTTTACGCACAATATACGCAGTTTTCAACACTTGATTGCATTTTTTATGGCGGTTCTGAGTCGGTGTGCCTGGTGGATTATTAGTTTCGCTCTACTCAGAATCAGAATACGTATTTATACTGGAGGAATCCGATGAGCTATGCAGCTCGCTTTCACAGATGTTCAGTATTAGGAATCGAGTCGTGAGATGAGATAAATTCACTGGCGTATCATGTGAAGTATATTATGTTTATTAGGATTTAACTTTGAGCTTATGATTGATGCACCACTATTCTTTTCGTGAGCCGCTTTGGGGGGGGGCGAGCGCCAACACTGGCTACACTATATGCGCAACTGTATGCAACAATAACAACAATGCAATGCAGTTCCACGGATGCCTGATAGGTCGCCTCAGCCCCTGCTACTTGTCAAGTGATGGGATAAATAACATTTTAGAAAGAAAAACAAGTTGAGGCAATCCACTGGGGAGCTCACCCGGCACGCGGGGGTTGAAGTGCATTGACTGCGGGTAGTGGCAGATTTCTTCTGCACGACTGCCCTTTGCAAAGCCTGGTGAGAAATTCACCTCCACAGAGTCACTCCGCTCTTTTGTCACTCAATGGCGAAGAGCAATTAAATAATAATAATAAAAACCCACCACAAATGACTGGGAGTGTCATTGGAGGGAGGGGAGGGGTAGGGTAAAGCAATGGACATGGTTGAGGTAGCTGGTGTCATGGGAAATGTATGTCTTAAAGTCCCAGTGTTTTTGTCAGTTGTAAAATAATATACCACTCGAGACAATGCATTCACATGCAGATGTCCCCTTTGATGGTAATGCGGGAGATATCCTTATAACTAATCCCATGATTCGTCCCAGAGCTTTTGTACCACAAAAGTGGCAACTCCGACCCCACACGTGGCTGATATTATTGTAAGATTGCAAAGCCAAGCAGGTTTGGTCTTGGTTCGTACATAGTTTAATTTTCGATTTAAAGCTTTCGTGACTGCAATGATTCATCTTCTTTGGTTCTTTCGGTAAAGTCATTCGTACATAGTTGGCTGAGAGACTCGACTGGAAATACCAGGAGCACAATTCACGCAGACTTTTTTATGTTTTTAGTTGAATTCTGACATGAACCGGAAATTCCATCCCGACGGGAATCTGGGCAGTGCGTAGCGACGTGACCTTGCTTGGCCCGCTAATGGACTCAATCCATGAATTTGCGCGAAGGCCGCCCCATGACGACACCGCTCACCTCGGTGGTTCGCGAGGGTTGTTGAAGGTGAAGGAACCGGGATCTTTTTCAGATATCACTCGCCACTGATGTTAGCCGTTGGCTGGGAATGAATTGTGGGTGCTCGAGTGTAGATTCGGCGTCTGTGAAGACACACGCTCGCGACTCTTTGACCTACACCATGGGAGCAGATCAGAGGTTAAGCGCCATTTCATTATAACCTTAATGTCAAATTTCTGTTACGTATTTGGGCTCCCCTAGGTCGACTCAACCTCAAATGAGTACCTGGTGCGGTGTGTAGTAAACATCACCACTGGGGAGACAAAAGCGGCCGGGCGTGGTGCTGGCCACTCACCCCCTCGTGTGCCGTGCCGGTCTTCATAGGTGCTTGCTAACAGCACTTGCCACCACAGTCTGTTAAGGCTATGGGGGTTCTTTGTCTTTGTATGCATGTGTATTGTTGGGGCGCGGTACTGGGACTTTTCGACTTATTGGGAGAGAGTTACTGCACCTGAATTACCAAAAAGTAGAATGTTTCCTGAAATTCCAAGAAAGCCATCATTTATATCAGGAAGTGGTTGAATGATGAACACTTTGCGAAACGGATCCTTCCTTGTGAGGCTTTCCTGGTGAAATGAATGGCATTTTTATTGTTATGATTCACAATTGTTATATGTTGAAAACTGATTCTGGAATAATTGAAGACAATAATAATATTGATAAAAAAAAACATTATTGCGATAGGCTGTTAGGCCTAAAAAAAAACTACAAGGGAAGTAAAATGTCCCCGTATATTAAACATGTTTACCATTTACCACATTTCCAGCAGCGTCTCTCAGAATCCAAGCATCTACATTATAACTTCTGCTCGTTACTGTTTAAAGCCATGATTCCTCATTATTAATTAAGTTAGCAGCCTTTTTAAGAGTCAGAGTAAATATCAATTAGAATGTGCTTTGATGTTTTATTCATGCTGCGTTTTTGGTGCCAACAGTAAAGCTGATATATGTTAATTTTATCATCGTAGATCGTATACGCAACAAACACCAAAACATCCACTCCCAAATATTCCGATCTAATTGTTGCCGATTAAAAATATTTATTTCAACGATGCAATGCTCTTGAAGAATGACCAGGCGGGGCAACAACCCTCAATGGCTGCGCACAAAATTTCGCGCGTGCGTGCACGGTCTGTCGATCCTTGCCTGAGTGGTCTCAGACGTTTCTTGCACGCGTGCTACGAAATAAGAACAATTTTTACGCAAAAAAATAACGATGGCATATATGAGGACGTGACAACAACAACAACACAAAGCACTCGGCAAAACGTATCTAATTAATCCGCAGCTGAGAATGCTCCCAACTGTCAGGGCGTCAATATATATCGAGCGAACGAAAAGGAACACACCTCTTCTTTAACATTTAAAGAAGGTTACGTGAGGTTCAGCCTCTGGGGGTATGAACTTTATAGATTTGGCGAAAATAATCACTGCTGTATCTCCGGACCTAGTTTAATTAACTCGTTCGCTGTTACGCAAAGCTGAGGGCGCATTTGTGCACGCGAGGACGTGGGAGTCCAAGCCACGCGCTCACGATTGCAAACCGCCGCAATTTCTGTCGTCGACATCGTGATCAGCCACTAGCCGATCTCTCCACTGCTACATGAGAGCCTCCCGAAGGCCCACTGCCCTCGTGGACGCAACGACACACCCAGGGGGACGTGCACGCGCATCAAATCTGTAAACGCCGAGGGAAAACGGATCGCACGCAGGCAAAGACGGCACGGCGTGTGCCTCTCAGACATTGTCCGCGTGATGTTTGAGAAGTGCGCACGGTCCCATTCAAATCGCTCTCCTCTCTGCAGTGGTCGTCCATCTCAGGGCGCGTTCTCTCCTTCGCTCCCTCATTCATTCTCTCATTCATTCTCTCCTTCGTTCCCTCCCTCGTTCCCTTCTTCGGCTCCATTGTAAGTCTCGATCACCGGCCATCACCATCATCTCCTAGCCATGGCGCGTCCTGCCCTAGCCCCAGTTGTCTCAAGAGAGTCAACATGCCTCTAATTTCCGTGTCTTCTCTGATGCACGTGGTCTTTGCTTCATGTCTCACGGTGTAATTCCATTACATTATCTCCCCCCACCCCCACTGCTTATTTGTGACAATTTGGGCCTTTTGGTCCACTTTCTTTTTTCAGAAGTGCTTTGAGAGGCGCAGCCGGGAAGTCACACACACACACAACAACAACAACAATAATAATACTCCATCGTGCAATCAAACACTCGACAAAGTCAACATGAGCGTTTCTCTCAGCACTTGGAAAGACAGCGAGCACATCAGCGAGGTCCCTCTCCTCTCTCTCTCTCTCTCTTGACACGATTCCTTCGGTTCACGAGCACACTACAAATGGTCATTTTCTGTTGCAAAAAAAGCTGTTGAGGGATACAATTCATATTTTGAAGGTGATGGGTTAATATATTTGATGAACTTGTAACAGACAGATATATATATATATATTTGTGTCTCATCTAAATCAGTCGCCTTAGTCAATCCACTGTTGGATAAAGGCTTCGCCATACCGCATGATGGGTTGTTTGTCCATACTTCCCCACGCTGGCTCGTGAGGGTTGGTGAAGAGATGAGGAAGCCCTGGAACGGTTCTGACAGCGTCCACTGACGGCATCCATGGTCAGGAATCACAACTCATGTGACCGGGATTGAGAGTGAGCACCACGGTGGCGAGATGTTAACGGCATCGCCAGGTATACAGGAGGTCGTGGATTCGATCCCGACCATGACGCCTGCTGTATATTTGGAGTTTGCGTGTCTCTCTCTCTCTCTCCCCGTGGTGGCGTGCATTTTTATCCGGGTCTTCCAGTTTTACCTCCACATTTAGAATCAACGTCATGCGTTGGCTGCAATAAAGTACCACGTGATGATGATAAGCCACTTCGTTGAACTACCATATGTGACTAGGTTGCTTCTAAAAAAAGAGCTATATAGCTTAGTGAGCCTTACCTGGTAACATAGAAAATATATATTTACTAGAATAATAGGGTTTTTCTCCTTTTTTCTGGCAACAAAACTTAAACTTTTTTTTTACAAGGATTCATGCCTGCATTAACCACAATACCTGCAGTCAAATGCAAACAAAAAACATACTATGATAATATATGCATTGTCCTTGAAACTGATTGGCCCACACCAAGGGACGGCTTTCTTTTGAGCCTCGACCCAATTGGTGCTCGACCAGATGACGCCAAAAGGCGTCACACAGCTCAAAGACAATGCACTATCAAAGTAATGAGGGCTCGGGGTGAGCATCTACATCATTAGACCTCCTTTGCCAGTACCAAAATATAATAATAGGGTATTTCCCCTTTTTTTTCTGGCAACAAAACTGAAACCTTTTTACAAGGATTCATGTCTGCATTAACCACAATACCTGCAGTCAAAATGCAAACAAAAAACATACTATGATAATATGATGCATTGTCCTTGAAACTGGTTGGTCCACACCAAGGGACGGCTTTCTTTTTAGCCTCGACCCAGTTGGTGCTCGACCAGAGGACGCCAAAAGGCATGAATCCTCGTAAAAAGGTTTCAGTTTTGTTGCCAGAAAAAAGGGGAAAACCCTATTATTATATTTTGGTACTGGCAAAATAGGTCTAATGATATATATTTACTATTTAGTAATAGTGCAATGTGTGAACCACGTGAGTACACAGTGCCCTATCAACCAGGTTTAACGACGCATTTATATACTTACGCGATGGATGATATCGGTCGTGAAAGCCTCCGTGTTGAACTCAGGATACTTGAGTTTGATTCCTGGCAATGGATGACCGTCGTTGGCGGATGATATCTCAACAAGTTCTGCATGCCACCTTCACCAACGCTCACTGAACCAGCGTGGTGAAGTATTGTCAAACGATCCCCGTGGCCAACAATGCACGGGGAGGACTTTCCCTTTTGATACTCGTATAATATTTTGTTACACATTCACATGGTGCCGTGTGTGCGTGTGGTTTACAGCCCAATACATTTAGAGTATGAACTGGAAAATATATTTATATTTCCCATTACATTAAAGGTAATGCAATGTAAAATTTCACGCGTAACGCATCTGACAATATTTGTTTGTGTGTTTCACCAAGAAAACAAAACGCGTTGTGACGCAAATGAAACGTGTTTGTTGTTCTGTTCTAAAATGAAATATCTTTGCAAGTTTATGAAAAAGATCCTATTTGAATCTAGATTTTTAAAAATACGACCATTTAAGCGTGACATTAAATACTACTATTTAAGCGTGCCATTTGTAATCCATATGCAAATATACATATACCCATTAACACAATGCGAAACACCATATTTTGTGCATCGTAATATATTTATTAACAAAGTATTTCATAAAACGTGCCTCTAATGTTCTGTTGGTGTAACAATTCTTCAACGAAGTGTTCGCAAAGCCACAGCACCTCTATACCAGCCTTTAAACGTCGGCAAAAAAATCACCATCTTTGTTTCACTTGTGCTTGACACGGCTGATGAGGCACCGAATGTTGAAATGGCTCCAGGGTGTTGCTCGCATTGAACCAGTGCTGCTGATAAGATTACCTCTCAGAAGGCCGCATTGCTTCATTAAAAAAAATATATATTTATATTATGGGGACAAAATAATAATATGAGACGGGGGAATGTTTTTTTATCGTGTTGCAAGGTAATGGAGATTCATTGGATATTGTTTGCATTCCTGAGAATTGAATGCTAACCTAAAAATGTATAATCAGCAATAGCTGACGGCAATCCAAAGCATGCTTAGATAAACATAATTATCCGCTTCAACACGCAGAACGCAACACAATTAACACCTGCCGATGCTGAATCATGGAAGAGAGAACGATAGCGTAAACCTTGCAAATGAGATCAAGGTGAGGATATGTCAGAAACGCTACGTTTATATAAAAAAATGGTCGCACTACACTTAAAGCAAACTTGCCCTCTGTAATAACTGCGAAGGGGGAGCCTGGCCAGTATAGTCTATTGATGTCTGCGCAGATTGTGAAATCTGTCGATGGATATATGGGCCCTTTGGGGCAGGGAAAGACCAAAAGGGTTGTCCAAGAGAATGACTAAGTGAAATGTTGTG